ACTAAGAATACGAGGTGATGGGACTATAAAAACTAGATATTGTAATTCACTTTGCTGTAATAATGAGGTAACTTGTACTCGAGATGTCATCCAGTAAATAATAGTGTACCACTGTGTGCTATGTCAAATAAACAAATCTAAAAAAAATCATGCGAAAATGTGGTTTTTGTTAGGTTTACTCAAGTTATGCATAATAATTAACGCTACCTACTGATCACTTTTTTGTAAGATAAATTTATGGTGGGAATAAATGGTTATGTAAACAAGGGTGGGTAACTCGGGAACCAGTCACAGTATCACTGGTACTAAGGATCGCCTCTTTGTTGTGGGAGTCACAAAACCTGTATTTCATTCTTTCATGCGGTCGTGAATTATTATGAAATTGAGTTGGATGCGTTATCTTCTAGGCTGGTGCGTTCCAAACTATTATTGTCTTCCTGATGGCGAGACGGAATACATTTAAACATGCCTGCATCGTTTCGATAAAGAAGTAGAATTGTCTTGTGCAGATGAAGTGGGTAAAGCTTGTGGAATGGGCATCCTTGGTCGTCATGAGCCTGTAACAGTTGGAAATGCTAGAAGTATATCGTTACATTGTGCTCAAAACGATCCGATGACACCAACCAAGATAAATTCCCTCTACTCCAACTTTTATCCAGTGTTCGAGTTCGTTACACTAAGTTATTTCTTATCCATAGAGTTTACAAATTTTCACTAAAAATAACCTTTGATGTTAGTTAGTTGGAGGCAACTAACATCCATCAAAGTGTACCGTGATGGTAAGCCTTCTAGCTTGGTGGCCACATTGCAAAATGATCTATAGTATTCAGTCACTACTTGGGGTTATGTAATATGAGGTCGGTCGCACTCCAGTGACAAATCAGTATGTAAAAGCCTTTGACCTTAAAAGAGAAAAGACAAATATATTGAAGAGAATCTTATAATATCATCTGATAAACGTGTACATTCGTATTTTAATTTACAAAAAGCAAGTGTTAGTTTTGGTATTAGCTAATATACTGAAAGGTTTCTCGAAAAGAAGCAAAACTGGGGAATAACGTCAATAACATCAAAAGTAACGCAAACTACAGCTATTACATTTTCATCCAAGAACTTTACAGAGACTCAGAAAAAGGATGATGACAACGGTGATGGTAGGATAGATCAAGATTATGGTAGATTAGGAGCTCAGGTGTATTACTTTTGTACAGAGAGCTAAACATTATACCGACGAATTGCTTGTGTTATCCGTTTAGATTAATTTTTTTAAAGGTAATTTTGATTGTAAGGAACTGTGTGACTACGATTAAGCGTTTTTAAGTCAGCTTGAGCTCCACTCTTTGCAGGGGCTGTAGAACCAGATCTATGGAAGTAGAATAACTCTCACAAAAGATAATCTTTGATACTCGTAATTTCCCGTTACCATACGGGGTCAAACGCTTGACTTCTGTTGACAGTTGGACTTCTTGCAGATGCTTTAATACTGCCGTGATGTTGTTTTCATCTTGGTGACTAGCAGGGGATGCAGGACGTGCAATTTGTCCTGTTTGGCACCCGTCAGCTGGGTCCACCTGCCCCAATGGCCTGGTGGATAACGCTTTGGCACTTGGAGCGATGGTTACTGGATCTCAGTCTCACTGGAGTGAAGGTAAATTCAGCTGACGAGTCTTAAGCAAGATGAGACGCACGTCCTAGATTCTACTGCTAGTCAACAAGACGATGTCAAAAAACTAACAGATTGTTCCCTACAAAATGCTAAATCGCTTGTCTACTTAATAAACTTAGCCCAAAGTGCACTAGGAAAAGTATTCTTAGCAAGGTAGATATTTAACGCCGAATTATTTTCTCGGTGGTATCTGTTTTAAATCTTGTGTTCATGAGGAAGTTTTTCACTGGAGTCGTAAAAGACCATTCAGTATACTGCCCAGGTTCAAATATATGGTATTAATCATGTTGGATTTTTACTTCTCGAGATCACGTAGATTCATCTGATTTTCAAAATCCGTAGGGGGATTGCTATCATCAGTTTTCACTTGGTGAAAAAATTTCACACGTTTTCCACCTAAATGGAAATTTTCATTGTTTTCTAAACAGATATCAATTTTCCTGTTTTACAGAACATCAAGAAAGGAAATGATTGATGCTACTTTTCTCATGTGTTTCGCTTCACGCAAACGTTTCACTCCGAATAAAATTTCCTTATATCCAATCGTCAACAAATTTGCTTATTGTTAGGTGGTGAAAGTCAGTTGGCAGAAAGTCGTAAACATAGGTTTTGGGCTTTCTGGCACCCCTTAGCAAGGCGTGTCTACAACCACGAGGTAGCTGATGTTCCTTCGGGATCCAGACCTGTGTCACTTCGCTTGGTGGTCACATTGCAATACCTCCTTAGTGGGCTTCCATTTGTGCTAAGATCTAAGGCTTAAACAGCTTCGTCAGTCACCCACTAATGTTCGATTCGTCTGCATTTGTCTGTTCCAGTAGTTATTTACTCCTGACAAAAGCATTCAACCAAATTTCTTTACGTATTTTAATGGATGGTTAACTAGTTCACTAGTTACTAGCCGGTTCTATGCCCAGGTAAAGAGGGAAGGCTGGGCATAGGGCTAGCAACCCAACCCCGTAAAGCCAATCCAGTCGCTAAACAAACTTCTATGCACATAGAAAGTATAAAACATAAAAACAAACTTATTCCTCTCTGGAATCGGAGAAACGAAATGATACCGTTTGGTGAAAGCCTTCGGGAAGCCAATTGGCCGAGGAGTCTTCTCTCCCTCGATGAAAGCGAAAGTAAACATGGGGACATGGAATGTCCGCACTATGTTTGAACCTAGCTGGCAAGGCTTCCTAGATTGCAAAAGAGATGAGAAGGTATCACATTGAAGTGCTAGGAATTTGCAAGAGCAGGTGGAATGGGAGTGGACTCTCCAAACTGTCAACTGGAGAATCAATAATCAACTCCATTATTGTCACCCAGACGACAACCACGAGCACACTGAGTTTTGGAGTGACTATCATGATGTCCCCAAGACCATCGAAGGCTCTCATGCAGTGTAAAACCAGTCTCCTCCCGCAGGATCATGATAGCAAGATTCAACTCAAAAGGAAGGAAAGTCACAATCATACAATGCTACGCAACCGAAAATAATGCAGATGAAGAGAAGAAGGAGGAATTCTACAGACAACTGCAGTCAGTAATGAACAACACCACATCCCAGATGGCGACATCAAAATTCTAATGGGTGGGGTGACATGAATGCCAAACTGGGAGTGGACAACACACAAAGAGAACTAACCATGGGTCGAGAAGCGTTCGATGAAATGATGAATGAGAACGGAGAACTGTTTGGAGACTTCTGCGCATTCAACGATTTGGTGATTGGAGTCAGGTGGTGTGTACAAACACAAGGATATCCACAAAGTGACATGGATTTCACCAGATGGACACACTAAAAATCAGATTGACTTCATTTCAATCTCAAGAAAGTGGAGACGTAGCCTACTTGACACAAGATCAAGAAGAGGAGCAGATGTAGGCTCAGACCACTATCTAGTGCAAGGAACCTTCCAAATCAAGTTGAAAGCCTTCAAGGAAGTTGGTGATAGACCATAGTTCAAGTTCAACACCCAGAACAGAAAGTGGAGGACGAAACTAAGAAGGACATCTTCACGTCAGTCAGTCATCAGGACAAAATGAGGGAGATTGAGCAACATTCATGAGGAAACCTGTGTGGAAGAACACTGGAACTCTTTGAAAGCGACGTGGAAAGAAACCTGCACAACCGTACTAGGAAGGAAGAGGAAACAAGACAAGAAATGGATCTCGAGGGACACATGGAAGCTGATAGAGGAGGGAGAGGAAGATGGTGAAGCAGAAGATGAGCTAGTGCAAGGATGAACGACAAGAAGGGGAACTGAGTACAACGTATAAAACACCACTTGACAAAGAAGTGAAGAAGAGTGTGCGCATAAAGACAAAAGACATTTCCATGACACACTGGCAAGTGAAGCAGAACAGGCTGCAGGTAGGAGAGACTTGACAACATTGTATCAAATAACCAGGTTATTATCTGGGAAGAGATCAACACAGCATATCTGAAACCAATGCAAGATAGTGAAGGAAAGCTATTTGCCAAAGAGAAGAAACAAAGGAAACAATGGCTGACCACTTCGAAAAACTCTTGAATCTACCACCACTACCAACTGCAACTTGTCCGTAAATACCACCAGCATCGGCAGAACTACCAGCTAACACTGGCTCACCGACAGAAGCAGATGTCCTGAATGCCATAAAACTGCTGAAATTCGGGTAAGCAGCAGGACCAGATGGAATTCCTCCAGTAAGATCATCGGTGATGATAGTAGGCGGCTACCTTATCTCACTCCTGTCTCTTGTCTTCACTTCAAAGGCGTCCCTCAGCTTTCCATTGTCAATCACTTGGCATGTAGCATCCTCACATAGCACATAGGTGCTGTTGAAGGAGGTTGATAAAGGTTTGTGGCACCCAGACCGTAGTGTTGGAGCAGCCGTTGCCAAATTACTTCTCGGGTGACGCTGTTGAAGGCCTCATCAAAATCGATGAAGTTGATGTTGAGTTGACTGGCATTCTACGCCGTGTTCTATGATGATGCGTAGCCTTGCAATTTGACCCACACATGGTTTGTATTTCTTGAGACCAGCGAGCCTCTTTCCGTCATAATTTTGATTCCGGAACATTTTTTAGTCTCTCCAGGATAGAATGATGCTTTATGTATTGCTATATCATAACTTTCAGGTTTTAATCTGTCAACAGTTGCATGTATTCTGTTTACTAGTGTTGTTCCTTTAGACAAAATTTATTTGAAACCATTTTCTTCAATTTTTCTAGGTTTATCCTTTTGAAGTGTTCATGAGTACAAGTGGACAAATTCGGTTAACAGCTAGTTCTGTCAGTGAAACCATGATTTTAGCGATTGCAATCGCCATTGCGGAGCACATACCGACTAGTGAATGTTGTCAGTTAGCTAAAGGGCTTTGTTATCTGCTCGTCTGATAGATTTTGATATCCAAGTTCTGTAAATTTGTAATCCTGTTTTTCTGTTCCTGAATTAAATTTCGTATCAGAACACCTTGTTGTCAACAATTTTACATCGATGCCTGTAAACAAATTGCTATGTTCATCGTTGTTAATTGTACTATTAACAACAACTTCATTCATATTCACTAGACTAATATTTAGCGACGAGTATTTGTGACTCAATTGAAGAATCATCACAGTTCTGTTGGATTCATATGCTGCATACTTCAAGTCCCAATTACGATGAAATCTAACTTGATTAAGAAACATTTACTGAGCAACAAGGAGAGTTTATGGGAAATCTATATGCGAGTAGTATAGTTTAATCAAACACCGATTGTGTCTTCATAAATTAGATTTTGGTTTCCATGCTAATTTAATTATCAGATATGCTAGACTGAAGCCTTGTGGTTTACTGAATAACTCTTGGGAACTACTTCATTTGAGATCATTGTCCGTTATCTGCGTTGTTGTTAAATGGAAAGAAAAGGTCTGACCCAGACAGATAACTACAAGTAGCAAAATAATTATTTGGAAGTTATAAAGGAACTAGGGGATTAAAGTTGGTGACGGGAATACGATTTTTTTTATATAATGTGCCATAATATCGCTGCTGCTTAGCTGGTCTTTTAAAATCATTACAACCATATAAGAAATTACTTGGATTTGCATAAGCTACTTTGACATTCGATGTGTAAGAGTTTGTCGTGCTTTTTACGTTACGGGATGTAGCGTCAGCGGACAAAAATAATCATTTTTCACATCTGAGAAAACAGTACACCGGAGAACACGTATTGGTTCTAATGCTTGTAGGCGGGGCAACTATAAAGTTCTAGCAACATATTTCCACTACTTACAGTTAATGAGTAGTTCAAGCAGACGTCCATAAATTTTAGCTTGACTCTTTTCCGAGTTGGTCAGAAGTCTTGGAGTCTGGTACCGAATGTCATGTGGTAGGACTGACGTGATTTTGCTATTGTTTGGTAAGAAAAGCTTGCCAAATACTTCAAGTTAATTTATTTCCAGACAGAAGATGAATACCAGTATTAGTAATCCTTTTCTGAAATTATAGTGAAGTGATTGGGGTTTACTTAGGTCGCTGTGTCTGAAATCAACCATCTGGCCATTCGAAACTCAGGGTACTTTTGTGCTAAAGCTTAATTCTGTTGAATGAGTATCGTCAACTGGCATTCTGTAGCCTCCTCCAAAGACATGATGAATGGAAGCTTTGAGGTCCTCTATGCTTCATTTCATGGGTCATATGCTAAACAAGTTGGTACGGATTTCGTTATGCTTAACATATTTTCATCCTTCTTTAACAGCCATTTTCAGTGCCATTGTTCGACGGTTGGATAAAAATGCTCATTAGAGATGTGTCCGTTGGTTTCCATTCACTATACCTCAAAATAAATTTTACCTTTTAACAAGCTATCTATGTTAAAATCATTGGTAACTATTTGATGGTGACGTGCTAAGATGTTAGTAGTGAGATGCATTATTTCTTGAACCTCCAAACACATATACCGCCACTGAGTAAATAAAAGTTTATTTCTTCAAGTTTAATGAGCAGTCGTATATTTTTGGACGTCTTATAATGCAATGAGTACTTCGTATGCAAACCGAGGATTCGTTGAACACTAAATGACGATAATTTATACGACTATTCATCAGTCACTCATTACGAATAAGAGACTCGGCATTACTGCCACTGCATTACCGCCTCACCTCATATAAGCTCACCAACGTAGTAAGAAATAAAGTGGCAGAAAGTTGTGATGAGATAACAAGGAGAAATAATAAGATACTGGATTCGGTATGAAAATCAAGTTAAAGACAATGGGTGGACAAATCTGTGCGACCGAGATTCATTCTGAGACCACCTAGTCTCCAAATACTAGTTTCTGATGTCACGCTAACCCCATCCAGGAAGTGTTCATTCGTCTACATGACTCAGACCAACAGTCAAAGACCTCATAAACTGATACCATATGTTGGTCTGCCCACCTCTAACTTTCTCAGACTAAACCTGTTTCAGCCAAAATTATGCGACTATACAGATGGTAAATAGGGCATACATAACACTTCCCAGCCATGCGAGTAAATGGAACTGTAGAACCTCATCAACTGAACTCCCTCTTCTGCCTAAAACTTCACACCTGATTCCCACTTTCCTGACGTGATTTTACGGCTGACTTTTTCGAAAGCCTCTTGTATTCGTGCAGAGATTTCGCCGACTACCGACCCACTACGGCTGATTCAACTTCCCAGGTGAGTGAAGTGCTCAGTCATTTCATTCCCTATTCTTAGGCAAGGCACCAGAGTAGACCATTTCTGGAGCAAAAATTTGCCCTTCGGTAATGGGGGACGCATCCCAAAGATTAAAAAGTTGCTGCTCAAGGTGTCCAGAAGACTGGTTCTCCACAGCGGTTTCACCTGTCAGGACAGTGTCATTTGCGTACTCGGATGAACTAAGGACTCTCCTGTAACAAGGTCAATCCCTGTAGAGTGAGGAGGAGAAGGAGACTTCCGTAAGTTTGGCTCTAACAAAAATAAATGAGAACGGAGAGAGTGGACATGCTTGACAGGAACACTCTTCGACGCACACAACTCACCTGATAACTCAAAACAGGCTCTAACACCCTCGAAAGTGTTCGAGTAGAGAGCTTTCAACAGAGTGATTTACTTACTCGGTACTTCTTTTAGTGAGAGGCACTGTTGCAAGACCTCGATCGACGAAGTCGAATGCTATCTTCAGGTTGGTAAATTTAATTAGAATCGGTTGCTCCTAGATGCCTGCATTCCAGAACGCGGCAGAGGGCGAACATCTGGTCGACACCCAAATATGAGGTCTGAAACCCCTCGGATTTCCTGATCCTGAGCTACACTAATGGTAGCTGCTACCTTAATGTGGCGTTCGGACTCGTATATCACAGGTATCCAACTAGCTATGCTGATAGAACGCTTGTTCCCTCGAGGTTCTACCATACCAGAAAGGTCTTTCGAATTATGGTTACGAAACAGTTACCATTATGGCGTAAATTGCTATACTGTGATAGGAGTATGAGCGTGAATTCGTACTGCTGACTGGACGGGATGTGATAGGAGTAAGGTGTTTTCCTCGGATTACCAGCAGTGCCATTCTAATGCCGTCCTCCCTATTTGGAGAGGAGGGTTAGAAAAGGTTTTCCGATAAATATCACACTCCCATCACCACGTGGTATGCTGGTGCCTGCAACGGATTTATAGTCGTATTCAAAATGCAAAAAACCAAATTCTCAAATATGGCAAGAGGCCGTGTATGACAGGCCTCAAGCAGATGTCATCTAGGCTCTCCAGTCACCCACTATCCCTTCAAGAAGAACTAGCCTTGCATGGTGCAGCTGGAAGGTGTCAACCGCCCGCGTGCTTCTAGTAGTACACAAAACCCAACCAAACATAACCTATCCTCTTCAACTCTGTTTCCTCTCTTGCCTTCACCTCCTGACACTAATATTAAGTCTCTTATATCTTCCTCAATCTCTCATTCTCCGACCACTGCCAACGGCAAAAACCATCGAAACCTTATTCCTAGTCTCCTCAACTTCACGTATGAGCTTTCAACGTCCGTACTCTGTGTCAAAACGGACAGCATGTATCGCTCGCCAGATCTATGGAATCTCTAGCCATGGGTGTATGCTGTTTCTCTGAGATACATATGTGGAACTGAGTGTGGTTATTAAATTAACCTCACCTGGCCACATTAGTGAATCCTCAAAATTCACCTTAAGAGTATCCGGAGACCCAATGATTAGCTCTTGCAGACTCGCTGGTTTTGGTAGAGCATTGAGCTGTAGGACCGAAATTGAGCTGATGATGCATGGGATGAATGCTATGAGAAGCTGTCAATTTGCTAGAGAATCAAAAACGTTCAGATGTAGTCGTGGTGGCAGGTGACTTTAATGCTCAAGTAAGTAAGGTGAGCTGAAACAATCGGAAAGGCATCTTGGGTGTTTTTATGGAATCCTATACCAGTGGACCAGCAATGGTGATCGTCTTTTGGAATTTTGTTGTGACAATTACTTGTTTCTGGCCAGCACTAGCTTTAGGCATGAGGAGAGACACTGTTTCACATGGCGTCGTCTGACTTCAAAGCAATGATGGACACAGATAGATCAGATTGATCAGATATAAGCCATCGCTGGAGATGATCGGTGGAAGATTGCCGCTGTTTTTGGGATACCAGTTAGGACTCGCGTTATTACGAACTCGTATATGTCTGTGCCTTACTATTTGAAGGAAGCAGGGGACAGTAAAGCCTGTCTATTGCCGACCGGGAGATGAGGACGCTATGTATGTATTTAGGAAGGAGCTAGCTGTGCGTTTACCTGAACACGACAGCAATGCTCATCCTGAGGAAACCTGTCGTGATATTAGGTTCTCTGTAAAAACAGCGGTGACGATAGCAGGCAGCCTACACCGAAGCTTAGCAAACGTCATGCGAGAAGTCTGATTTCAGCTGGCTCTGGCGAAAGTAACCTAAAAAAATTAACTGACTAAGAGTCTTCGCATTTATCTTGAGTGGTGGCGTTAGGTAACACCCGGCAACTATTTAGGCTTATTAAGGATACTATCAAAGAGAGGACAGTGGTTGGTGAAACTGCCACCTGAAAGAGAGACAGGTGGCTAGGACATTTGACAGAACACTTCGAAGCATAGTTCAACTGGTCCTCAGCAACGTTTCAGTTGCTCAACATCCAGCCCGAACATAAATGGCACACAGATGTTGCTCCTCAGACTCTCCTTCAAGTTTAGTAGCCAGTATCGAAACTCAGACGATGCCAGGTGGCAGAGCCTGACAGTTTGCCACCTAAAGTTTTCATGGATGGAGGCAGGAAACTGCTAATCAAAGTGATGGAGCTCCTATTATTACTATATTCTTTGTCCCTTGGGTTCCTAATCGAATATAGGGCTTCAGTAGCACGTCTCCAGTGCACTCTGCTCTCTACAAACTTTTGAACCTGGCTTCACGGCAGCCTACAAGCTCTCATTTCCTCCTCGCACGATCTCCTCCATGTCACCCTCAGCTGGGACGCCCAACTCGTCGCTTCCCATCTGGGTTCCACTCGAGGACCTGACGCGTGATGTCCCCAGTCGGCCTTCTCAGTGCATGCCCAATCCATCTCCACTTCCTTCCAGTGCATATTTGTTAAGCGACAGCTTCTTGGTTGGTTCGTTCCCAGAGTTCCTTGTTGCTTATTCTTGTCATTCTGGCCATCTGATCCTCAGTAACG